CCCCAAAACCCCAAAACCCCAAAACCCCGTAAAGCAATTCTAGAGGTATTTGCTTGATATATCTTAATTTAACTTCTGATGAATTTAAATAAGTTAATTATTAAAATGAAAGTGCAAGCCATTCTGATCTAATTTGTGATTTTAGCAAATGTTATCAGCTCGAATGATATCTTTGGCCAAGAGCAGGTCGGCTTCCTTAAAGGTAATCAGACTTCTTTATTTTCATAAAAGTAACTCTTGTATTAGATAGAAGAATGAGGAACCTTTAAGCTAAGAAGTCTTACTCAGTTGGCTTGACTAGGAACAGAGATTCTTACACTGCTGACTTATACGTTGGATCTACCTAGTAGAAATAAACAGTTTTTCTTGATACAAGAGGACTGGTAAATAGAATGAATAAGAGTTTAAAATTTATTATAGTGGACTACTATAGAATCTGTAGATTGCTTTAATTGTCCAGGATTGAAGTACAACGAAACTAGAAGCACCACCTTCAAAGTTGCTAATGACGAGAATACATTATTAAACGTAAGCATTAATGGAAACTCAAACAGCCATCAATTTAAGATATTTACTTAATATATTTGAAATTGAATCTCAATTAACTCAACATATAGTATTTATCTTGTTCATTCCTTGGATATACTGGAACAGAGAGATTATCTCTAGGTGATAGAGCATATATTGCTAATGATGTCCCAATTTTCATGGCTAGAGCTTAAAACAACTTGGTAAGCACTGACTATTTTCAAATCTAAAATTAATATCTTGTTCAATAAATTCATCTAACATACATTTCATAGGCTAGCGTCTTTGATGGAGTATTAGGACTTGCACGTGAAATTAACGTAAATAACTCACACAGATTCATTACCATTCTTCAAAAAGCAAATGCTATCCAAAGTCGCTCATACTCTCTATTTATTCCAACTGGTTCAAGAACAGGAAACATTGATATTGGTGACCCAGTTTATACAAGAGTAAAAAGTGGTATTAATTTGAGTAACCTGACACTGATAACTGGAACAACTGATTGGGTTGTAAGATCACAAAAATTCATTATTGGGTACTCAATAAAATCCTACGAAAATGACTATGGTAGCTCAAATGCTACCTTTGACCTAAATTAGAGATATATCGTTGTACCTCAAAGTAAAATATTGTTTTTAAATCCCTTCTTTAGATTTCCATAGATATTTTGTGAATTTCTTGACATTTAATCAGAGAAATGGAGTAGTAGCTGACAAGCCAAATATGTTCCCCTGTGATCCAACCCTCTATCCTACAGTCTTCTTGCAATTAGGAAATTTCTACTTTGAGATCAGACCTGAGAGCTTTGTTATCAATGAAAATGATGGTAGTGGTCTTTGTGTTATAGGCTTTGTAAGTGCTAAAACAAATAGTTGGATTCTTGGACAAGTCTTTCTCAACAACTATTACACTTACTTTGATGACTTAAAAGGCATTATTGGAATTGCCCCTCACTCCTCATCAAAAGCTACAATCACTCCAATCACTATTTGATAACAAATTAATACTAAGAAATAAAAGAATCATATATTTGTCTTTTAACATTATTTACTGCATAACTATTAAGCATTATAGGGGGTTTTGGGGTTTTGGGG